TCCAATGTATAGGCTGAGCGTCAAACGATGTCACAAACACGCAACAACGTTCAACGAAATCGAACGCAAAAAATGGAAGGAAGAGCAAAAATGCCAATATTCAGATAGAAGTTTGAGGATTTTGGTCCGCATCACTTTACTTTTCTTTTTCCTTCTCTTTCTGTCTTGTGTATATGGTGGATGTCTTGGCTAAAGGACTCGTTTTTGCGCTTCCTCCGACATTGTGTGCTGCGCCATGCCCATATATTAATGTTTAGAGGTTGGGTATAAGAATCAATCACACATTTTTTATATATGTTGTTTATCATTAGGTGAATTTAATGTTGGTCTAAGGAGTGAACCGCGTAATTTAATAACTTTTTCTTGTACATTTTATTAATAACTTTAAAATGTTGAAAAATAAGGACGAAATTAGTTACCAAGATTCCTCGCAAATCAAACTATCAAAGTTAATTAACTAATTAATTAGTTGCTTTCAAAAGTTTAATTAATTATTCAATCAAGTTAAGTAACAGGTAAGGCACTGTTCTTGAATATTCATTGCTTCAGCAGTGCGGCAAGGACGGGTTGAACGGGTCTGCCATTGGGCATTGGATTTGATTCCCTTAACATAAAAAAAAAATGTTATTAAAGAGTATATGTATTGTTGATTTTACCAAAACGTACTTTATAAATATAATTAATTTTGTATTATATATTTTTATTTTCTTATTTTTCATTCTTGCTTACATTAGAGGAAGTAGATCCTTGTGCATCACTCTTTCTTGTTAATGTCTTCCGTTTATATAGTAATGTAAAATTTAAAATGAATAAAGATATATTTACTTTTAAATAGTAAATAGAAGTTTAGACTTCAGCAATCAAATAATTGAAGGGTGAGTATTTTAACATTAATGGTCGAAACTTTTAATTATTCAACATTCTATTTTTAAATTTGTTTGCTGGATTTTACTACTATATATTTGCAGAATTTAATATTTTTACTGAGTCCTTATAATTCTCAATTTTTTAAACTAAATCCTAGGAAGGGAGGCCTGTGATATGATTAGTTGAAGTTTTCTAAGCTTTGCTGACCAAGCATAAGCCTTGACCGAGATTTTCAGTGTCACGATACATAGATAAATAAATATATTAAGAGTTCAGCTTAAATTATTAAAAAATAATAAATGTATGACATAAATTTATCACTTTTATTCTTATACTAAAAAGATATTTTGGCTACATCAAATATAAAAACACACATTCATACAAATTAATACATCATTTTAGCATTTTAAATTATAGATATTTATCGGTCTCTAAAATTATTTTAAAAAAACTTCTATGATTAAGAGATATAATTCATTTTAACACATGAAATTATAGATACTATTTAATTTAATTTTTAAAATTATAAACATCATTCTATTTACTCTTATATATATATATATATATATATATATATATATAACTATTTAATAACATAAGTGGTCATGTAACTATTCTATTAATACTTAATTTATCGCATTCTAACACATTATTAAAAAAAATTTAATCAAAACTAGTTAAAGGATTAACACTCTAGAAAATAACATTTTTATTTCATAATTTTAAGCTGTAAATCGAATGATGCTTATAATTTTAAGACTAAAAATATTTATTTTTATAATTTTAGAGACTATTCTTTTTTTCAAAATTTCAAGGGATAAATTGGTAGATGTCTAAATTTCAGGAACTAAAATATCTTATTACAAATTATTTTAGGAATCATAATTTAATTTTAGTCCTTTTTTATTTTAGTTTCTATATATTTTTTTTAAAAATAATACTTTTGATCTCTAAGGACAGGGTACTAACTAAAAAGTTAGTATATGTAAATTTTTTGTGAAGTTGTGCCATCATTATGATCCAAAAGTTATGAATTTAGAAATATTAAAAACAAATTAAAAACAAAAATTAGAGTACTTAAAGTTAGAATTTAACAAAATGTAAGAATTAAAAATATATTTACAATAAAATCACTAGTATATTATTCAATATCAGGTTTAAATATATAATTTTAATATTTACTAGATTTTGATTTTAATATCTTTAACATAAGCTTAACTATTTCAGTCTCATTGATTTTTATTTTTATTTTTTGTTATTCTTACATTTGTACAATTTTATTTTATTTATTTGTTTTCATCTGTTTGATATGGTCAACTAAGAATCTACCACATATTAATTTTTTTATTAAATAATGTTAGTGAGAAGAACCATACTAAAAATTTACAAAAATATAAGAGCCCAAATCAAAGAAAAAAAATAAGATATGTTAAAAGTTTTTTTTTTTTTTTCAAATACAAGGATCAAATTCATATTTAAAAAGATCTTAAAAAAACTAATTTAGTATTTTTTTTCTTAATTTAACGAAAAAAATAATATCAATATTTAATTTTTAATTCATTTTTTTAATCTCCTTCATCATTGTTACCCTACAATATTTATTATATACACAAAAATTAACTCATAACAATATTTTAACTAGTCACATCATTATTAAAACTAAATATATTAAAATTTAAAATTTGGAGAGCTTAAAAAATTATTAAAAAGACTGAAATTTAAATATCACAAAAATACAGATATTAAAAATATAATTTGAAATCAACCGATTAAACTGTATATATTTTACATGATACTTCTAAAGTTTAACACTCTTTGGCTCCAACATATATTTCCGACCACACAATCGTCTTCTTTCTTCCCTTCTCCTCACTCCTCACTCCTCACTCCTTGCCACCTTCCTTTAAGTCTGAACCACCACTCACTAGATTGAGTATTGGACGAAAGAAAAGCTTTTAAAGATCTTGCGGGACCAACCGGTCCACACACTTTGCGAAGTAAACAACATGAGACGTACCCCATCTAAGGCAATGTACTAGATAGAACTGAAGTAGTGGAGGGTGCAATTAATGTAGTTGCTCAACATTTGCCGTTCACAATCAACTTCCAAATCCCTTCATAACTTGCAGCTTCACAATCTACATTTACAAAATCATTAATAGAAAAAAGAGAAGATGGGTGTAAGGCCCAAACTTCATACCTGTAATCTCTTATGTCATACATGGACCCAATGGATACCAATCAAATGATCTTCATGTTAAAAAACAAAACTTGAAAATGTTATGATGTTTATACCTACCTTGGCTTAGGGACTTTACCAGTGGTAAAGGAGAAATCAATGAAGATAGTTGAGTTCTCTTTGTTGCTTATTTTCTGTTTCTTTTTTAATCAGATGTAAGGGTTATGACTTTACCAGTTATACCCCATCAAAATGCTTCTTTTAGACTCTTTAGACTCACAAAAATTTTGTGATCTTTAATTTTGAACAAATAAAAAATTATAAACTTTTAATGTGTCTAAATCAATAAATAACTAGTCCTATTACTTGCCAATCACTATGAGATGATATTGTTTATATTTTAACTTTTATTTTTATAACTTAATTGTTTTTAGATGCATTCGTGTACGTAACATATTAGTATATTATAAAATCTAAAATACATGAGCAAAAGTAATAAATGAACAAAAGTAATTTAATGTATTCATTATTTCATCAGATGATTAGTACATAATTAAAGTTAGGTCATTGGTCATGTAACTACATAAACTTATCCAACCAAATTCTCACACAAACTAACAAAACCATGCATGATAAAAATTGTTATCATGACACGATATCGTATTGCACAACATTTTAATTTATTTCTAAAATTTCGACTTCTAAGCTTCCAATCTTTCGATCCACGTGCATTATCCGATCAATATTATCACTTGATACATTTTCCAAATCAAAATTGCCTTCAACAGATGGCATACTATCGTTTCTAGTATTGTCAACAAAAAAAGTATACGTATATTAATTACTCATCTCCAAATTAACGCCGAAAAAAAAATCAGTGGAAGGGAAATGCAAGACATACCACAATGGAAACATTAATTTCACACGGCATACCTTGTAGTTAGAGCATCCATAGAAAAGTCTACTGGAATTGGCCAGTATTTTTAATTCACAATAGTCTTTAAACCTTAATAGCAAACCAAGCATTAGCCTCACCTAAGATGAACGTCGCTAGTTTTTGAAAATAACTTGTACGTTCATTCAATGTTGTTGATTGAGTGCATCTAGGGCAACTTTCCACAACTAGACATTTTTGGATAAGGCAAGGGAGATGGGGCTGGAAGAATAATAACATTTAATCGACGGTAAAAATATGAAAGTCGAACAAAAAGAAGATAAAAGGAGGGAAAGGGAGGTGGATGAAGAAGAAGGTAGACGGATTGCATCTAGGATTCTTGGAAGGGATCAAATTGAGTCACTTAACCAGCACACATCAAAACATTGTTGCTTTGGAACCTAACATGGACTTTTATGCGTCATTTAAAGCGTCATATCATCTTTTTGTCAGTAATTAACATTTGACAGCAAGGACAAAGAATGATAGATTTATGTCTTTTTAAGAAGTTAGAGATTAAATTAACCGGCTCTCACATTTTCAATGATTAAAGTGAGTATTTTCTCATCAAGTTCTTTAAATATTTCGATAAAAAAAAGTTTCTGCTCTTTTCCTTTCGCTTCCTCTTCATCCTCTCGTAGAATTTTGGTCTGAAGTATTGATAGGCTAAGTTCTTCGAAGCAATTGCAAGAGCCAGCAGTGTCAGTCGAGTTAATCCATCGAGACAATCACTGGTCCAGTACTAGCTGATAATATATCTGATGATGTGTTTCATAAGTGCCTATCACTCCAAATTAATTATGCAAATTTTTGGGTCAGGCGTAAAAAAAAATTGAAATCACACAACTATTATCATAATCACAGAATATAATGATCACAACACACAACTATATACAGCAATATGTTTTTAATTTCTAAATTTATCATTAGTATTGATGGTCTTCATCTATATATTTTGCAACCAAATTGCAAGTTCCTTCATGATTTGTAGAGATTGTGTGTGTGAATACATGTGTTTGTTTAGGGTTCACCAAAATGATCCGTTTCCCATAGTGTCAAGTCAATGGTAGTTTCCGCACCAACCCAATTGAACCCTGTCTGCAACGCCGGCGGTGTGATAATCAATGCTTCTGCCAAGCTATTCATCAAACCTGGCATGTTAAACACTTCCTCTTCATCCCAGAAGAAGCTTCTAGAATCTTCCTCTAAACCCACCTCTATGGACAACTCCAAATCATCATTATTATTTTGATTATTATCTCTTTGAATCTGGGAACAGAAGTGCCTTTCAGCTGCTTTCATTGCCGCAAACTGAATGGCTCTGATGGAAGAAGTTCCGGAATTAAGACGCGGCAACGAGGTAGCTGCGTGTGGGAAATTTAAGGAAGCAGCATCACCCTTGAAAGCCAAGGCAGCAACATCGTACGCTATAGCTGCCATGTCGGGGTGCTCAAAGGTTCCCAGCCAGACACGTGTCTTTTTGTTATTGGGCTGTCGTAGCTCACACACCCACTTCCCGTTCCTCTGCCTCACTCCTTTGTAAACTGGGTGACGCGTCTCGTGGAACTTCCTCCTCCCAGCCCTTCGTTTTTGCATCTTCTGTATCAAGTTAATTGACTTGGACAATGTAAACGCTTTTATAAGTTTACACTGCAGTGATAATAATAAAGATGAAAATAGAAATGGTTGTTATTGATTGATCTTGTGTGGGGGAAATAGTGGAGAATGTGACAGGACTTGTGTGGCGCGGTTGGCAGAGAACATGACAGAACTACAGTGACTTATTCCACCACCAGGATCGTGTGAGAAGCGTGCTTAAAATGTTTGAACCACAATATTTTATGCTGCACGTGTCTCAGTGTGAAGTTTAATTGGTTGTTCACAATGTCACGTTGCGGAAAACTAAATAAATAATTGCAAACACTTTTTTCAAGTTATTATTATAGCCAAAAGTAAAGTGTTCCATATAAGGAAATAAAAAATCGTTTCACATTATGTGCCACTGTTGGTTGTTATGATATTTAATTAATTATTATTCCTTTTTTATTGTTAATAGAGTGATTAAGGATTAATTATTGATTATGGGTAGGTTTGCTGTCATTGTTATTATTTTTTATAAATTTAATATATAATAATAGTTTAATATTAATACACTGTTAATAATAAAAAATTATATAAATTTTATATTAGTTAATAATTATATATATTATTAATTTTTAATATGCATCTTTAAATTCACGTTAAAAAAACTGAAATAAAATAAAAGCTTTGATGAGTCATGGGTGACGAAAGGGATTACCGTGATGAGTAATGGTTGACAAAATGAGACTAGAATTTGCAGCTACATGTGTGGAGTTAAAAAGAGACGGAAAGTTTGGGGTCCACACTGACACGAAGGACTCGCACACGTGGATAGATTAAATTTAAATAAACCGTTTATTAGTTTTAAAGTTGCGTAATAAAATTAATTTTAAATTATAAATACAATTAAAATATCTGCATTAATTAATTTAAGAAATCTTTTTACCATAATTTAATTTTTATATTAAAAATTATACAAATTAACTTTTTAATAATAAAGAACAAGTTCAAAATTATTAACAAAATCCTGGTTCTTATATTAAAACACATAGTGAATGCTTTAATTCTTAAAAGATGATTTCTTTATCTTTTTTGACGTTTTACTTTTGCATAAAATTTAAGAAAATAGTTATTGTTTTAAATTTTATAAAAATACTATTTAAATTTTATTATGTTGTTAATATATTATTTTTATTAAATAAATGTTAACTATTAAACATTAATTTATTTTGTAAAATAACAAAATAATTAAAGTGAAAAAAAGCTAAAAATAGTAAAAGAATGACGTAAAATAACTAAAACATGTATTATATTTATAATTTAAAAATATTAAAAAAATTAATGACAAAAATGTTATATATTCTTTTTTTGTCTGTTAAATATATTGAATATAATTATACTATAATCAAATAGAATAGAGGTTTAATTTTTTATATATGGAAATTGAAATATATATATATATATATATATATATACACAAAAATATAGTGCTTTTGAAAAAGTTAGGAAAATATGAGATTAAAAATTGTTGGAGTTTTTTTTATAGGTTCTAATAGAGCACAAAAAAATTAGTTTTAAAAATTTTAATTAACGATTTAAAAAATATTAAAAGTCAAAACTTGCTAACGGAGATTTTTTGAAAAAAAATAAAAAATATTAAAATATCCAAAGAACTCTGATAAGTTTTTGAAAAATTCTTTTATTTTTGTAATTTTTTTAAAATATCATATTTTGATAATTTTTTTCATATAAAAGAAAGATCCTCATCGTGTATAGTAAAATTTTCACTTCAAATATTTAAAATAGTTGTATTTATAAGTATTATTATTTTTTAAAAATATCAATTTAAACCTTAAGTTTAAAACATTTAAGGTCTTTTTAATTTGATAAGATGTGTTCTATTTTTATTATTTATTTTCATAAATAATTATAAAAAATAATTTATTTTAATTTTTTTAAAAAGTATAAAAATTTGAATTATAAAAAATTTATATTTTTATATAAGTTTTTGTAAAATACTAAGATGATATTTGTTTATATTTAGATATAAAGAATTAAAATGAAAAGTAGTTTTTTGAAAATCTAAGCGAATACGTCATTGATGATTGTAAAACAAGAGAAATATTTTATTTGCATTTTAAGTTAGCTACGTGACATACTATAATTTTATATTTAAATAATTTTCTTAATTATATAATAGAAGGAACATTTCTTAATACTACACATGAAATATCTGACGTTTACGTAGCAATATATCTTTGTCACATCACTACCCTCAACCATTGCCGTTTTGCTTTCTTTTCATGCTATGCAGACTAAGGCTCGTGTTCCCACACTCCCACGTGCGGAATAGAATCTCCACCATAGATACTTATTTAATTTATAGAATTATAATTCTTTAATTCTGATACTTATTTAACAATTAAAAGTTTTGTAGTCATATTATTAGGATATATTTAAAATTATAGAAAAATACATTAATAATTTTTTTTATGTAGTATTTTAAAAATATTATTTAATACTTGTTTTGTAATTGAGACATTTTTAATCAATATTATATGTTAAATAATATTAATAAAATTTAATTAAAAATAATGTATGATTATGTTAAAATTGATGTATATTAATATTTTTTTATTTTTTTTTGGATATTTGCTGGCATTTATCTTAAAATTATGATAAATTTTATGATTGCACATATATGTTATTTTAATTTAAAATGTGACAAATAGTTTATGTTTTATAATAACAATAACAGATAAATATGTTGTTATGTTTAATGTTAATTTAAGAGATGTAATTATTAATTAAGAAACTAAAATTTTACTTGATTAGATAATTATTAATTAACAAGAAATAAGAACATATGCTAAAGTAAAATGACTAGTTTGCTCCTATTGACTTGGGTCGATATATACTGGGCTGGAAGAGTTGAACTGGCTCATCAGTTTATTGGGTCAGTGACCATTTATTAACTAGAATTGGATTTTCATAACATCTCTTATCTATAATTGAATGGGTTTTGACAATGAAGCCCATTTTCATGGAGACGATAAGATCCCTGATTCACATATTCAGCATATGATTGACCTAAAAATTAAAAACATATGCCGCATATGTTATTGATTCTAACCTGAAAATGTTTTCTAATACAACTTTGAGAAAAAAAAATTTATATTCATTTATTCTTTCAAAAATAAAAATAAACATACTTTTAAAAAGTGTCTTGTTTGTGACAAAATTAGATTGACATAAAAAAAGGAAAACTATTATTAATGATAAAAAATATTATTAATGTAATAATTTATAATTAAATTAAAATGAAAAAGGAAAACTATTGATGCATTTTAATTAAAATTTTATTTAAAACTTATTTTATGTCACCTTTCTTCATCTAAACACGGAATTATATATAAGACATTACGGTTTCGGCCAAAAGTCTCATCAATTTAAGACCTTTGTGAAAATAGTTATATTTATATTTTATATTTAGGATTTAGTTTTAACTATAAAAAATGTCATATTTTTATTTTATTTTGAATCTTAAATGTATTCTAAGGAATAATAAAAATAACCATCTCATTATATAGATCATACTAACCACTAGTTACGGAATTAAAAATATATTTTTTATTAAAAATTACATCAAGAATAAATTAAATAATTATTTGTGTTCATTAGTAACCTATGATATTTTTCCTCTTTTAATTATGGGCACTTGTTAGTATTTTTTATTATTTTGTATTGTTTTCCACATAGTTTTTTGAAAGGAAAATATAAACAATGTGAAAATTTTAATTTTTAAAATAAAAAATAAAATATTATAACTAAAATTAAAGGCTCTAAAATCTTTCATATCGAATCTTTCTCGATTTCATTTTGCCGCTTGCTCTCAACGCTAATGCGATCAAACATTCAAACGGGTGCACCTTTTTGTTGATCACTGTGTGACAACAAAATGGACATTAGGAAACGATATTGAATTGATTAATCCCAGTGGTAGTTGGAAAGAATAACCGAGAAGCTATATAAAAACTACGAATACACAGTGAATAACACACTTTAGAAAAGGAAAAAGCAAAAAGCAAAAAGCAAAGTAAGTTGCTGTTGAAATAAGATGAAGGGACCTTGGAAAAGAAAATAGCAGGGCAAAGCAGAGCGGATTAGAGTGATTAGTCGTTGTCAAATTGTTCTTTTCTTTACGAGGCCTACTAAACATGTTAGCACAATAATTATATTTGCATCTATTTAACATAACTCTAGATATGCAAATGTATTTCCCAACATGCTCAAAGAAAGAGAAGCATACATTTAAGTTTCGAACCACTCCACTAAATTCCCAAGGCAAAATACTAATTCAAAAATTAAAAGTAAATTTTTAAAAATATTAACACCAATCTTTCTTATTGATTTTAAACAAATAAAGTGATAAGTTTTTATTAAATAAAGTTTATTACATAAAAAAGAATGTAATTTTTTTTTGTCAACCATAAAAAATGGTGTAATAAAATATTTTTATTGATGATATTTTTAATACATTTCTATAATTTTTAATAAAAAAATATTATTAATTCTTTCACCAATGACCTGCACTAAAGAGGAAAAATCCAATTCTTAAACTGCGGTGAACTAGACGTTTTGCAAGATTTCTAAAAGTTTATAATGTTCTTTATCATCTGTTAAGGTGATTGGAAAAGGAAAATACGAATGGAAGAGTGACATTAACATTGGATGCATTAAAATTTATAATTACTCCCCATCTATCCTCATAAACAAAAACAGGACTTAGAATTAGAATAACGCGCGGGGTCAATAACTGCAAAATTTATAGTATTTACAGCATTCATTGCCAGCTACATACACGAGTCATGTACATATCCCTCATATTTTCCCTCAAACCCGGATTATCTTTATATCTAACTAGCCTATGCGAATAAGGTGCAAATTAGACTATGCTCTTCTAATGAAAAGAATTAAGATAATCACTCATACTAAGTTCTTCTTCTGCTTCAAAATTTGCCCGCATTAACAAACTAGTTCCTCTGAAAGTTCCTCCACTAGAAAGCACAAGATTGCAACCTCAAGTTCCCCAGCTAGCTCCATTCTCTGCTCAGCATTTTTCTTCCACCTACCTTCCTCTCTAGAAAAGTCCTCTTCTATCATCATATCAATGGTGTTGGACTCCACTTCTTTCCACAATTCCAGCCTCTTACAAACCCTTCTTATAACCATGTTCCTGTCATGTGAAGAACTAAGTTCTCTCTCTTCCTCCATAATGAGATCATAAACAAGTCCCTTAAGCTCTTCTGGGGCTTGCCATTTGTCATGAACTCTTGATTGGCAGAGGATTTCAGTGACTATCTCTCTCTGGGCCTTTTCTTCACATGATCTTTCCCTGTCATTGTCTTCATAATCTTCCTCTTCAATAAATGTTTCATACTTGTTCTCTTCTTGATCTAGCATTCTTTTCTCAAGTTCTACTGGATCTAACTCTGCAAGTTTCTCAAATCTACAAAGCCTGTCTAATAGCTGCTGCTTAGTTCCTGAAAAATTAATACACAGAAAAAGAAAATTTAATAAATATCTTCTTTATATCCATTTTACAAAGTTGCTTGAACATTGCAAACCGATTAGATTTTATTGTTTTAACAATTCCTTTCTTGTACAGTAATAAGAAGCTTTCTTATATCTCTTACATGTTCACAGTATTCAAGTAACTCAATATGGATAACATGTAATAAGTACATGATGCATTAAAGCTTTAGCAGCTATTTAAAGCATAGAAAACTTAAAAGCATTGAACAAAATTTTTTATTTCACATCACTTTTTACACCACCCCTTTACACTCCGACACATTTTATAAATTGCTGAACAATGTGAATGAAAAAATGAGAAAAAGAAGACAAAATTCTTTACTAAGGGGTGTAAAAAAAAAAAAGGCCATGCAATGAGTGTTAAAATGTAGCTTGTCAATGGAGCAATAGTTCAACCACTTTCACCAGGCTAAATAAATATACTCAACAACTAAAACTTACCATGGAAACATGATGAAGCTTGAAAGGAGTTAAATATCTAAAACCTTATACAACACACATTGAATGGAAGTATGACAATTTAGACAGATACTCTGACACGAAAAAAATAGTAGGTCATGTTGAAATTTATTAACGATATTGCCTGTGACTAGTTGTAAACAAAGAGTAGGCCAATTCTACATTCAATGCGGAATGCCTGTTGGGCAATGAGCTAATGTAATCTTTTAATGGAACCCACAAAGATAGGTGTCATGGTTCAATATCAGCACAATCAAATCAACAATATAGCCCCCCTTTAGGGCATATTGTAACAAACAATCAACTTTGAAGAAGCGTGCACGATGGTATGTTGATGGAAAACGACCATACAACAAAAAATATATATTTATAAAATAGTGACATACGTTGTACATTGGCATAGCTACACTCCAAATCAAAACCATCCTCTTCAATATCGTCGTTTTCATGCCCATCATCATCATCATCATCATCATCATAATCATCATCCTCGAAGGGTGGGTCTAAAACAGACACTGGACTGCACCGTTCCTTATCTTCCTCTACTTCCCCCGATTGGAATTTGTTGACGCCATCAGCACCATTACTTTCTTTGTCCTATGAAAATTCACAACCACCGTAGTTAGAATATTGTCCTAATTGGGTAGTTAACATAATTTCTTAATCATTCTTATAATGTCCATGGATTTAGACTCAACGCTAGTCTCATAATTGGGTTGTTGTTGACTTGTATTTAGTTTGGTTACTTGCTACGGGACCCTACAATAATTAATGTGAACAAGAAATACAAACGAGAAACTATTTTCTAGTAAATCGAATGTCGGGGTCGAATAATAGCAAGAGAACAAACGAAAACATGATTCGTCTTCTTTAGAGAAATTTATTTACCGAATAATCCCTGGAAGTAAAACAGTAAAAAGAAAAAGATTTGCATGGCAGACACCTGATCGAAAAATACAACCCAGAAAATCCACCCATTGAATCGAATTGACCCACATGACCCTCTGCTAGATGGATCTTCAACAAAATTGGGAAGAATGAAGGGGTAAAATTGTCATTTCAATCAAAGTTCCGGCAAAATCTGCAGACCCAGAATCCAGATCCTATTTGCCGACAAAAAAACACCACCGGACAAACACGGTGAACTCACGAGTCCAACTCGGTACTCCAACTCAGGATACAGTACCGAGTCACACTGGTGAGTTTGAACCTGGTCTCATAGTATTTAATAACCAGCTACTATTATTATTATTGTTATTGTTATTATTATTATATTAGTAAGTGTGTTTAAGTGTACTCATTAAGTAATGAAAAATAAAAATTATGAATTTCATTTGGTAATTTTTAGTAAAACAGTTCTAAGTATATAGATTAAAAATTAAAAGCATCATATTAACAATTACATTATAATATTTATAATTACAGTTTTTTATTTCTGAACTAATATTAATAATTAACATTTATTATATAGTTAAATTTTTAACATTAAATTGTAAAACTGATTTACAGAAATCAAAATTTATTATTGCATTGATTTGCAGTAAATAATTTTCAACAAAAAATTCTTATTCAATTTTAGATGCTTGAGGCGTGTTAATAAAAATGTTACTGCTATCAACTTACGAAAACAACAAACCTGTGTTCTGTGGCGACTCGGCGACGCCGCCGGCGATGAAAATTCCGGCGTACGATGACCGGAAGAGTAGGAGGGGCTCTGTTGGAGGACAAAACGAAAAGGGCCTTCACAGAAGAAGCTGTGATCATCGAAGGAAGAACACTGAGCGCTTTGTTCCTGCTTCTTCACAAACCCAATCTCTTCAACAGAGTGTTCACTACTCGAAGTTTCCAAGTCCAACGATTTGTCCTCGTTGCTCTCCGACCAAAGAGCACTACTAGGCCTTCCATTGCAAGAACACATGGATCCCACCACCTCGGCGACATCATCGTGGTTCTTCTTAGAACAACCTTTTTTAGAAGAATCCCACCTTAAGATATCCTTCACCGACACCTTGCCACCGTCTATCTCCTTCTTTCGGTTCTTTAGTCTCTTGAAGAAGGACCCGAATAGGCCGAAGGTGGTGTTGTGGGGTTTTGTGTTTGAGTGTTTTTGGATCCTTAGTGCGGCTTCGAGGAGTAGTGCTGCAGTGCTGGCGGGGCTCTTTGATGGGGATGCGAATTCGAAGAGAGGGGATTTTGTGATGTCTGGTGTTGTGAAGCATGCGTTTTTGCAGAGGTTAATGGGGAAGTTTGGGGGCTTTGGCTTTTGTTTCTTCAGTTGTAAAGTTGTGTTTGGGGAAGGCCTTTTCAGTTGGCTACGCCTCTCTGAAATGTAGTTCTTTAGAAGGAAGGGTTCCTGATCCTCCTTCAGTAGCTCTCGCAAGTGCTTTTGAGCCATTGTTGTCCAAATTTTGAAGAGTTTGAGAGAGAGAAGTGAAGGAATGAGGATAGTTGGTGATTCAAATCTAGATGGGTTAAAATAACGAGGCAAGAGGGTGCAGTGGTGATGAGCAAATTATTATTAAATAATGGGAAGGAAGATATAAAATATAGAAGGTTGCATTTTGTTTGTTTAGTTTTGGAGAAGAAAATTGGAAAATGAAAAAATGGGTGGAAATTGTAGGAGTGTGGTTTTTGTGGTGACATTTACATTTACAGCTAAGGTAATTATTATATTATTAGTATTACGATGTGGTGACTTGTGATGATTGTTGTTTTGGTTTGTGGTGCCTTCTCTTCTGTCCTGTCTGTCTGTCTCTCAAGTCTCAGCCCAAAGCCTGCCTTCGCAGTTTTCACCTTCGTCGTAGCTCTCACTTCTTTCCCATTTTTTAATATTATTTGAGGCCATTTCGAATTCACCCACCTCCATTTTCTTGCTTTTAATTTCCATGTAATTTTAGTTTTTTAAATTTATTTTAATTAAATTAAGTCTATTATTTTAAAATAATATTTTTATTTAAATATTTTTTTATTTATATCAATTAATAACATGTTATGTAGATATTATATTTGTATTAGTTATTATTAGATAAAATTTAGAGATAAAAAACGTAATTTGAATATTTAAAAAATTAAAAATTAATAAATGCGAATAGTTAAATAAACAGTTTCATTAAAAAATCATATTACTTAATATTTATTTTATAATTTTTTTTACATAAATATTTATTTGACAAGGTATTTTTACTTATTAAAAACCTTATTTAATAAAAATAATTATATTTAATTAGGTAATTCAGATAAGTAGTTTATAAAGTCTTTTTATGATACTTTTACTATATTTTTAAATAATTTTTAATTACTAATTCAAAGTAATTTTTAATTGTTTTTTAACAATTTTTGTTTACTCCTTCAAATTTTAAAACCTTTATTTTTATGTACAATTTTTTAAATCACTTTTGAAATTAAATTTATTGAAATATAACTAAATTATTGAATTTTTACAATATAAAATTATCAAAATCATAATATGAAATAATTTATAATATCTCATTTATTTAAAAAAATGTCTTAAAATAAAAATAAAACTAAAGCTTTATATTTAAACATATATAATTATTAAATTTTAAAATTTAGAAAAAAAATTACAATGTTTGTTAGATGTTATTTTATATTTAAGAGCGATTTCAATAATTAATTTTATTAAATATTTTTAATTTAATTACATAATATTTTAACTTTTAGTTATTCTATTCACTAATTTTGTCACACACACTTTTAATTTTTGATATCTAAATTATGCAAACGGTACATGACTAAGAAGATTATGTCAAATAGTTTAATAATTAATTTTAAATTTTATTAAAATTTTCATCGAATTTGTAATATATTTTTTAATTAATTACATTTCATTCCAGGGATATAATTAACTAATATTATTTTAAAAATTCAAAAGTAACAGATAAATAAATAAATTCTTTAAAATATGAAGAAAATAGAAATAACGAGTATTTTTTAATCATCTTAAAAAAATAAAAAATGAAAATAATTAAATTATATTGAACACTTACTAAATTTTTTAATCACATTTGAAAAGAATTATGATAATTATTTTAATTTTAAAGAAAGGTTTTATTAGAATAAAATAAATTTAATTTTAAATTTAAAGTTATTAACACAATAATATTTTGCTTTAAAATTTTAATAAATCAAAATTAAAATTAAAATTTATTTTAGCTATATTAAAAATAAAGATATTTTTTTATTTTAAAATTAACACACAAATTTATTTTTTTAAACAAATGACAACCAATATTTTCAAAAGGACTAGCTAAAGAAATAAAATTTAAAATATATATTAATTAAAATATAGAAATAAATTTAATATTTAATATTTGAGTGGTAAAAGTTATTTGATCAAATACTTTTTCTACTTCTTTTTATAACATTCAACTTAACCTCACTAATAATTTAGGCTTTCTATCAACTTAGGATAAATGAAAAAAATATAATAAATATTTATAAAATTTATAAAATGTCATAAAATATCATTAAAAATTATAAAAATGCCTTGTAAAAAGGACTAAAATAATATATTTGGTATTTTTAAACTTTCTCTTTATGGTAGTATTTAAATTAGTAATTAAGTATTATTGTAAGTGAAATTTTAATTTTAATTAAAAAAATATTTAAAAGTCCACATAAATTTTGTCTATTACTAAGTTAATTTTTTATTTTACATATAAATAGTAATATTGTTCGTGATAAAAAAATATTTTATTATATTATATAAATAAACAATTACACGCTTTTATACACCAAAATTAAATCTAACTTGTAAAATTCACTTTACCACATTACATATAAGTAGTCAGATTTATTGTGCTAAAGTTAATAATTATTTATTTATATAAACTAATAAATAATTTATTATACCAAATACTATCATAATTTATTATACCGACATAACTGTCAACCTCACTTTTATATCGTGTTGATACCCTAATAGCATTAAAACGTTATATAATCAGCAACATATTCTACCTCAAGATATATGATCTACTCATACATCAATACAAACACTAACTTAGAGTGTTGAGATGCCAAGTATATATCCCTCGTTTCATCAACAACCCTATATGCTAATTCCATAACAGCTTTGTATGGATTGTTTGGAGTCCTTAATTGCTATCAGATTCACCAAAAATGTACTAGATCAACAGTATTACTCTATTAAATTTTTGATAACTTGAACGTTACAACACTTCTGTAGATACTTCTCATCATCTCTTACTCGAGGTTCCAGTATTTTCCTTTACATAAAATATTTTAGTTGTAGGAAAATAACTTTCTATATATGCTATATATTTGAGTTGCATTGAAATGACATGGATGAGCATTTATGGAAAGATATTTTGCGATGAATTATGACTCAAAAGTATTGGAGGAGGAGACAAGAGGAGGAGCGGAGGGTGTCTCTCGGCGGGCACTAGAGCCCAAACGGAGAGCAAAACGACGAAAAGACTTCACGTTTAACACAGCGGAGAAGTGGATCTTGATTTTCACCCTCCCAACTATATATGTAACATAAAACAATACCATTAATGCTTCCTATCTTTTCATTATAGCTTCTACGTTGAATCATGCCTCGATCAATTCTCACCAAAACACTGACTTTCAGACCCTACTGCTCATCCTCAAGTTTGCGCTCTCTACTTTTCCCCCCCTTCAAACTTACCCCATTTGCTCCTTTTCCATTTACTTTACCTTTAATTACACCATTTTAAAAGAATTGCTATAGCTGGTTTTGTTTTACTTCGTAGTTTATAATTTGAATTTATAAATGTATGCTTAATTTAACTTATTTTAAATAAATATACTTATTTGTTTCTTTTGATTTTTTGAGATTTTTTCAAATTATGATCTGAATCAAACATCAAACATGCTATAAATAGAAATTGATAGATTTTTGTTAAACTAGTAGAAGAAAAAGTCAGTAATACAATTTTTAACATATTCTTTATTATTAATTAAAATTTTCAAATATATATATATATATGTATATAATTGTATAAATTTTACTCATAATTTTGCAAATCTCACTTATAATTTTATAATTTTAATAAATTTGAAATAATAGTAAAAAGTGATAAAGTAATAGAAAAAGAATGTTGGTGCCATCTTTGTTTAGAGAATTGTCAAATCTATCCCGTTTATATATTAAATAGAATTTTGATCAATAACAAATAAGTAAATTCTCAAATTGATCGTTCTAGTTATACTAATTGGATATTTTTTATTATTTTATTTTTTAACTTTAAAAGTATTTATTTTAGAATTTTTATATTTTTTTATTTTGTAAAATATTGAAATAAATATGTTTTACAAAAATTTACTAACAAGAGTTTGTAAAATTATTGAAAGTAAATTGTTGAATTTGTAAGTATGAATTAGTCTCACATTAAATGAGACATGAACAAGTTAGAAACAAATTAGAAGTTTATAAGAAGATATACTCATGCACCTATTATCTTAAAGTTTTGGTTTTATATTATAGTGTCTTACTTATTGCAAGACTCTTTGCCTAAAAACTTCTCATACCCAACATAATTTATACAATTTGACTGGAAGCCTATTCTAGAGAGAAATAAATTACTGCAAGTTCAACCTTTTACTCGTGTGGTAAAATAAATTAATTTTTATAGCTACTTTTTAAATTTAATAACTTTTTTTTACCATGCAATAATATTAATAGAATACTATTTCTTTTTCACAAAAGAAACCTCTTAAATATATTGAAAATATAGCTACTTTTTAAGTTTTGTTGGCATAGAGAAGAAAATCAACAAGATTAGCAAAGTTTTGGAACGGATGGCATTCCTCTAATTGAGCAAATTGTACATACTGAGAGATCAAAGAAGTCATTGACAAAAGAAGAATTGATAGAAAGCTCTAGTAGTTTGGGAGAAGCTCACAAAGCAACAAACAACAAAAAGCAGGGACAATTATGAAAAAATTCATCTCATTCCAAACCACGTACTAGCAGAGATAACTCACAACGTGGGCTTTGAAATTGGAATGTCTCGTAAGTAGCATGTAGTTGTTTAAGATTAGTGGCGGGGCGATGTCAAAGTGTTGAGGTTAATGTAAGTTTCAGGTAGTAATTGCAGTATACTCTTGTAGCCCTACCCGCTCGACCAACAATTTCTCCCCCTAAGGGGATTTTCTTTGAGTTAGTTTAGGAGAAATTAAAACTAGGAAGAAAGGAAAAGAAATTAAAATTAGGAAGAAAGGAAAAAGGCTTGTAATTTTTATCTAAGTGTGTAACGTGCAAGAAAAATGAGAGCCTAAGAAATGCTGAGCGGGATGTGGAGGAAAAGTTAGTTATATCACAAGGCCACGTGGCACATGATCCGCAAGGAAAGGGGCGAAGGAAAAGCATGAGGCGTAAGAGAGAGAATGTATTTCTAAAGGACTACGTGCTCTAGGGGGATTATGGGTGTGGTATATTCCTCTGTTCCCTTCTTCCTTACCCATTCTTCTGTTCTTCTC